TATATATATATATATATATATATATATATATATATATGTATAGTTTTGTCCCACCTCATTTACCACGTGTGGTGTGTATGACAAATAAATCTCTCTCTGACTCTGACTGATAAGTGTCTGTGACAACCTACCGGTATATATTCCCATAACATTCATAATCAAGGATTATCATGTAAAAATCCTCACATACGGACTCAAAGAGTTTTCTTGTAAAAGTTTTTTTCTTCACAAAATACACTTAAGATGATGGTTCAAACTTTTGAACTTGGGTTTTGTCTAAAAGTTATCAACAATTATTAGCATGTATGTTGTAAACACTTTATTTTCATTAATAAAATAGAGCTTAACTCTGATGAGACAGTTGAGCTAACAGTTATTCTGAGTGCTGGTGGGACTAAAGTGGATTTCAGTGATGTCGTATGGCCGCACTGACTCGATCTTTTTTTGTTCCTGTTGCATTTGTTTTAACATTTTTTTTTGTGTCCACACTGCATACCCACACTATATTCATGATATATTCATGATATGAATAAAACATTGTAATTGACTTTGTTAGGTCTAGCCAGTAGTTCATTAATATGGTCAAAATTAAATGGTTTCTTCAAAACGATGTAATTTAAATGGCTACAAACAACAAGCAAGTTAATAATTGTTCATGACCTTTCTACAAAATCTTATTTTAAACTATCTGAACTATTAACTAGCTTTACAATAGGAAATTATCTGAGTGTAAGGAGAAAAAAGTGAATTGTTTATCAATAAAGTGCATATAAATGGCATCAAAATGAAAGTTACTTTAACAAAACAACATCTAACACTGCTGTCAGCTGAAATGTACAAAACAGATACATTCAATTATTTTCTTAATTTCTTTTAGGTTTTGATCGATATTTCATCAGCCGGACCTTGGAGAACAACAGAAGGAATATCTGGTTTGCAGAGTTTTGGGAGAATAACTTCCAGTGCAAGCTCAGTCGACACGCTGTGAAGAAAGGATCTGGCATCAAAAAGTGTACAAGTGAGTCTGGAAAGAATAGAAGAGAAGACAGTTTCCCAGTGTGGAGCACTCAGTGACCAAGTACTGGTGTGGTGTGCCAGGAATGCTTTATGTTTGTGTAGGTGTGTCTCTACGTATGTTTGCTTGGTCTGCATGGATACAAATATTTATTGTCAGGGAGAAAATGTTGGCGTGCCTCTAATTTGAGTTAAATATAATGAGTGTAAATAGGGGAACGGGAATGTCTAATTTTGTAGGAGAAATGATTGTTCCAATTACTCGTGCACTGACTAGTTCAATTTACAGTGTCCAAAAAAAGCAATCACAAAAGTGTGCCCCCACATGCGCTGAAAACAATCAATAGCAGATTCAGTCGGCTCATTCGATAGAAATAAGCTTTCACTGAAATTACTCAGCTCTTCAGGCTCGCCCTGATCTCACTGGGTCCTTGAACGCAGCATCACTTGTCCAGACTGCATGTAAATCATGGCTCAAAGCCATTTACAGATTTATTTATTTATTTTCATTATTCTGTTCATATGCTGGGTGATTTTATAAAATCAAAACAAATATTCGTAGATGAAAAGTTCTCCATTTCACTGTTTGGTAAAGTGTATTTTTATCAGCTTCATCAAACACCTCCCCTCCTATTAGGTGTGGGAGTAGCTGAGACTGATCCCCAACACATTTTGTGAGCTTCTACAGATTGTGCAATAGCTGTTAACAATGTTACAAATAACTGTATGGAGTCAATTTTGTTTGTCTGTTAGCAAAATATGTCATGAACCACTAGATCGATCTTAATGACACATTCAGGAAATAATCATTCATTGTGCATCTACAACCGATTAACTTTTGGAGCCAACCAAATTGAAGAAGTACGTCACAGCCAATCAACATTAGCCAGCACAGAAATGGCTATAACTCAGTCAATTTAAAGGATATTAATTTCATTTTCATTTTGTTCATTTAACCACATTTAAAACCTCATTGAGATAAAGATCTCATTTGCGAGAGAGACCCGAGTTAAAATGAATGTATTCACTATAGTTTGAGTGTGACATCTCAACTGCAAATGATATCATTTTCAAGATGTGGCCAAATGGGCTTCTACGCAGTCGTTTCTACATACAAGATGATTTTAGTCTAATACTCTAAGATAAAATAAAAAACAAACCTTATGCATGTCTTCAATGAATGTTAGTCCTTTAATATTTAAAAAAAAAATCTGTTACTTGTTTTTGTAGTTTGTTTATTTTGATTGTTCTTTTTCCACAACTAAACCCACAGCTTTGAATTTTCTCCTGGAAATTAAGGTCCCAAACCCATTTAACTCAGCGATCTATCACTTCGACCCACCCCTCTGGTTTGTATGTTCACGTCAAGGCCAAGACTGTCCTCCCTCTTTCAGGAATAAAGGATGGAGCAAAGTGAAAGGCTGATCTTGTCCGTCGAAACAGCAGAAGAGATACAATTAAAACATGTGCAGATAGAAACTTTTAGTCAGTTTATGAATGCACGTTGCAAATGATTGAGCGTATATTAATTCTGATTATTTTAACATAAACTAAGGTTAACAATGCGTTTTGCTAGTTACATAAATGTCTTTTTTATTTTTTATTATATAAATATTTTGCTAATTCATCTTTAAAAAAAAAAAAATACTTTACAGTTTTCAATGAACTTTTTTAAGTTAATGAAAATACAGTTATCCAATCAGATTCTATAAAATTTCCATCTCCAGGCAGAAACATGTTTACAGGAGCTTTCTTACTGGTTAGAAGTTCACTGTCAGGACAGGCTGGTGAGCTGAGTCAGCATCCTCAGGATGAGTTTGTTTTATAACTGACAGGAAAATCAACCAATCACAGTGTTGATGTCGAGCGACTTGGAACCTTCAGGAAAGACCTCTATTCAGAAAACCACACTGAAATTATAGTTGTTCTAAATATCCCATTTATGATAACATTGATCATTTCCAATAATGCCGTTATATTATGGTTTCATTACATGATGACATTTTACAGAAACAATATGGGTCGCTGTTAAATTTCAGCTTGAATTATTGAAATGACATGTTATACTTGAACACATGGCCGGTGAGCAGTTGGACCTGTTGAGTAGTTTTGGGACAGAAATGGGTGAACTTGTTCAGATTCTGTGTCCGCATAGGTTGTGGTGGTTCTGTTTAGTGTTGGGTTGGCATTTATGTTCAGGTTGTTTTAGTGACTGTAAAAAATGACAAAACAAGCCAGATGTTGAACCTGATACATAAAAAAAGGTAAAGTGCTTCATATTCAGTGAGTTTTTAAATCATGAAACTGAATGTAAATTAATGTAATTAGACCAGGACTCAGTAGCATATTTGACATTAACATTTATTAAGTTGCTACAATATTTTTATTTATTTTATTTACCCTTTATTTATACAGGTAGTCTCATTGAGCCATGAGAACTCATTTTCAAGAGAGACCTGTTTAGGGTCTAGGGTTTAGGGTGGGCGTTAAGGGCCTTGCTCAGGGGCCCAGAGTGAGGCCTAACTCACAACCTAACTCAAGGCCCAGCTTTTATACTCATGGTTTGCCACAGCATTGATTTCAACAACACTCTCGGAGTTGAAAAATCTATTTTGTTTTGAATTTTAAAGAAGCTCCTCTTTCAGTCACTTGGTTTAGGCTCATTGGTTTCAAATTGTTACTTACAAAATAAAATCCTCCAAACACAAAAGTTACTGTATTACAAAATGTGTGGCATACCAAAAAATTGTTAAGATTTGAACACTTCCACATAAAAAAATTTAAATAAATAACAAAAATAAATGAATAAACACTAGATTTGCATCCATCTATTTTCTTTAACTGTTTCTTCTTTTCAGGTCAACTTGTGCAAAATGATTAAATTTGTCATAAAAAAAAAAAAAAAAGAGAACAAAAGATTATTAGCCACATAAAGGACATGCATGTTTTTGGCCTGTGGGAGGAAACCCAAGTACCCGGAGCAAACCCATGCCTGCACAGAGAGAACATGCAAACTCCACCCAGAAAGGAACCTGACTGGGATTTGAACCAGGATAACCTGCTTGCTGAGAGGCAGCAGCTCTACCAGCTGAGCCACTGCACTGCCCTACTTAACATAATGGTTAAATAAATTAAAAATAAGAATAAAAATGTTTCTGCTTTCAAACCAACCAAACATTCACTTCAGTTCATTTCAGTTCAGTTTATTTCTATAGCACCAAGTCACAACAGAAGTCATCTCAGGGCACTGAACAGAAACATTCCCATACATTATACATGACAATTAGTAAAGTTATACATCTAAGGAAGGAAGCATGAGTCATCAGGGCTGCCAGATGCAAGTAGATACCTCCCTGGTCAGGTGCTTGAATTTCAGTGCTTAACACAATCAAAGCAACATTTCTTGAATCTAATGAGAATATTAAACATTGTAGTTTGGCAGAACATACTGTATAAAACATACTATTTAATGAGTTGAAGGCTGTTAGTGGAAAAAAAAAAATCTTCACCTACTGTCAGACTGCAGCTGCAGCAAATAGTTTTATTTATTTATTTATTTATTTATTTTTGATTGACGGCTGTTTAATGGGCACCATAGTGGCACAACTGGTAGAGCTGCTGCCTCTCAGCGAGCAGGTCCCCGGTTCAAATCCCGGTCCAGAGGTCTTTCTGGGTGGAGCTAGCAAGTTCTCTCCGTGCATGTGTGCGTTTTCTCTGGGTACTCCGGTTTCCTCCCACAGACCAAAAACATGCATGTTAGGCTGATTGGTAACTCTAAATTGTCTCTAGGTGTGCGTGAGGGAGTGAATGGTTTGTCTCTATGTGTCCCTGTGATGGACTTGCAACCCGTCCAGGGTGTCCCCCGCCCCTCACACAGTGATTGCTGGACATGGGCACCCCCGTGACCCAAAATGGAAGAAGCGGGTCAAAGATAATGGATGGACGGCTGTTTAATTTTCCTCCTGCACTGATAGTGGACATGTTTTTAGAAACAACAGAATGAAAAGGTGTTTGTTATGGTTGTCAACTGAAATCTGCGAACCTTTTCATATTAATGGCATTACAGAAAATAATAATAATAATTATTGCTTTATACTCCAATAATCAATGACAGATTTCATACAGAGTCAGACTAACTACTGTGTTCCACTTTATCTTCTAAATATTCAGTGCATCCCTTAATATAATTTCGCATAATTTCACCACATCAACATTTTAGAATACTCACAGATAATGTGAACACATAGTGGATTAGTGACTTGATGATAAAGCTGTAGATAACCTTTACACACCAAAAATTTAAATATATATAAAAAGAAACTCACTTTCAGCTCATACGAGGACTGTGTTTGCCATAAAAGTACAGAATTCAAGTGCAATAAAAACATTTCTCATGTTGTCAGTCCATGCAACAGGTTTGCAACTAATTGACATGCAATAATGCATCTCTGGAATGTCTGTAGGTAGCAGAACTAAGTAATATCCACAGCATAACAAGCTAATAAGCTAACAAACCATGACTTTGTTTGTCCTGATACACGAGCATACTGTATCTGACAAGTCCCTGAGCTCCCGAGTGTCTGTTCAATATTCTGCAGGCTACAAGCTGTAGATTTGTATGCACAGGAAGTGTTGACAGCAGCCAGTCTGTACAAGACATGGCATCATGAGCTCAGGTAAATCGTGTAAATACATTTATGGGACTTACCTGTATAAATAAAGGTTGATTGATTGATTTACACAGAATAATCTCAGCTGTAGCTACTGTCAGAATGGCTCACTGCTTCAAACAAGCCAACCATCTTCATACAGCAAAATGCACATTTGAATGACATGTAAATGCAAATGTGCGTAAATGTTATTAAAAGCAACCTAAAGAATACGACTATATAAGCATAGATAATATATAAGCATATACTTTACGTAAACATCAATCCATTGAAACAACATAGTCTAATTCAGTGGAATACTGGATGAACTGGGTAAAAACCTGTCAAAAACATA